TTCTTCTGATTTCTGAAGCGAGTTGAACGAAGTTTAAGCAGGTTAACCAAGTAACAGAAATCACCATCAACAACGTGAAACTGTGTGACACCAGCACAAAACCATTTCAAGGTCGCTGCAGTCGACCTTTACACAATCTAACACGGAGCCTTTGTTGTTTTGTTGTAGCAGCATCGGTGGCCATGTGGAGTCTGAATGCAACGTCAACGATCGAAATAATAGCACAGTGTAACTTAAAACAATTTGAATAGGACATCGCGAGCTAGATCACTTATGCCGGCAGTTTACTGCGCTCACACAAGTGATCGTGATTTCTCCACTGGTGTCCCACGTGCAGGCGAGTTGTTGTTGATGGTTTGTTCGATCATTCGCAGCCACCAAAGGCGACAAGACGTGCACTCTTGGGGTAGCATTATAGCGCCATTCCACGACAACTGTTGCCAGTTGTCGCAGACACCTACTTCTCTTAGCGTTGCACGTCAGCGTGCCCCAAGCTAACGCACACACGATCGGACTTGTGATGCGTGCCCACACGCACATCTCGGTTCTGTGAGGTGGATTCCGTTTCAGTGATCACCTCAACGCAGTAGTGCATACTGAAGAACAGTATTGTCATTGGAATGTCAATTCTTTCTTCTACAGGGGCGTTGTCAACGGAGCCTTCCAAAGGTCTACATTTTCCGTATCTTTAGCCTCGACTCTTAAGCGGCAAGTTGACATTGATGCACTCTGCTCTGTGAGGACCGTTCGGATGCGATTTCCAAAAAAGCACCAATACCAAGCGATTAGAAGACCATTTTCTGTCAAAATTGCATGAAAGTTTGTGTGTGAATCGACATTGAGAGCAGCGGTACTTGCCCAGATCCGAGGGATTGTATCATTAACACATCAACTTCAGATTCAGTGGATTTAAGCTTAAAACCAAAAGAAACAATTGATTATGCAACCTCTATCAACAACAGTGCCCGCGGACTTATTTCAACTTGATGCCTGGTAAATAAATCATTTACATTCGTTAATTCATCGCACCTAACAAGAAAACAGTGAAAAGTCATTTAATTCATCCGCAAATAATTTTTTTTAATATCTGAAATATTGTATTACATTCAAATAATTTGCCCTCTGTTCTTCAAACGAATTTACATCGACGCCACAGTTAAAATAAATTATTATCGATTTTTTTCAAATGATTCGCGAAGTGGAACAGCAGTCGGCATTTGCCTGTTGATGGCCTGAGGTGGTTGACATGTAAGTGTCTGTGAGCTAATTTTGGTATTTTTAATTCCTGCCTCAATTTTTAAGAAGTATTTTCGAAAATTACTTATAGGTGTCCGAATCCTCATTGCCACTGAGGCTCGGTGCTAGTTGAAATCGCACACTGCTGCAGTGTTGCGTTAGGCCTGCGAGGCCAAATGTTACCCAATGGTGCTATCTGGTCCCAAATTGCGGTTAAGCAAACAGTTAGAGGAGACCTGTGATTGTTCCCCTAGGCAGACACACAAAAAACCCCATCTACTCTGGGCAAACGAATCCAAAGCTACATTCATGCTGGAACTGCGCACAGTGTTTTTCATATTTCGGTAAAGATGGGAACCTCAGCTAGCCTAAGAAGTCAAAATTGGTTATTTTCGGCGCTGAAAATGCCAAGTCGGGAAGAACAAAAAATGTTTGTGTTGCTGTACAAGTACCCAATCGTCCGTGTTTGCTTGAAAATCACCATGGAAACTTACAAATTACGCAGGTTTATCCTTTTGCATTGAAAAAAATTGTGCCAAATCGAACTGCAGCATTTACAACAGGCTTCTAAGTAGTCTTGCTCATGGCCAAGAACTTCGTTCTCACCTAAACTGAGACCTGTCCAATGAACGGAAGCATGTTTGATTGTAGCTACCATGGGCAGCACGAATGTTCGTCACACCTTGGTTAAAATTTCCTGAGGGGTCATCAAAATGACGGTTATTTAAATACCATATTTCATAGCACTACCCAGTGGTTATTTTCCGCACACGACGAACCAACTGTGACATTTATAAAAACTCCTATAGCCTGTTTCTGAGTGCCTAGAGCATTGCGTCAGGGAAATCGTGGAATCCTAGGTTGTAAGTCAAGAGGGGTGCTTTATGTGGGCACTTTAAATTTGACTGCGTGACACTTTAAACGACTTACTGCAGTGCAATCAAGTGCATTGCACCTGCCTGTCGTAAGCGAAATCCAGTAACAGGAAGTCAAATTTCGAACTTACCTGATGGTGGTGGAGGAGGAGGAGGAGCAGGGAGATTACTTCAAACAAAGCACACACATGCCGTTTTATAAATGCGCTTCGTTAGAGATCCCATTTTGCGTGGCCCAACAGTTGTCCTTTGATCTTACCGCTGGGAAATCGTTGTAATTTTATTTGGCATATTTTAATACGCATGGAACCAGTTTTTTGCCCAACTACCCCATTACAGCACATAACGCGGTTTCCGGTGTGTAGTCAGAAGAAATTATTGCCACTACCCTCGTCACCTGCTATTTCGTGAAACTGTTGAAATCTACGACCGTTGGAAAAAGCGAGCAAGGCAGCGTGCGCAACCACATCAACTGCCTAGAGTCAGGCTAAATTTTAGGGTCGTGTCGAGAGCTCTGAGTCAGCAGCAGGCTGAGCAGAGGGGACTTGTGGAAATGTCTGCCACGGTCCTCTACGCAGCCGCCTCACACCGTGACAAATTTGGCTTTAATCTAAAAGCACCATTGCAGGAGCAACAAAACTGCAAAGTAAGCCACTAAGACTCCAGAAATTCGGCCAGCCTTGGGGTACCCTGGTGGTAACCGCGCCTCGTTCGCACCGGTTTTACGATGTTACAATAAACTCCACAACCAGCCAAAGTCTTCCCTCCAATACCACCATGTTGAGAAAACAATTAAGGAAATCAAGCATGGGGTAAGTGGTTTAACTTCACCAATTCAATGAGTGTGATCGGCAGAATCAGGATTGCTGAACTTCTGAATTCCAAATTTCGCAAATTTTACCTCATACCACAAATTCTTGATGGCGAATTACTCAGCAAACTAGATGGTCCTGTGTATTGATTGACTGGAGCTCATCCCAAAATCCCCACGGTGAATGTGTCCATATTAGCTGATAGCTTAGGAAACCGGTAGTGGGTGACCACACGCACGCACGGAAGTTCTCCTGTGTGCACGCACACAACGCTTAGAAGTAATTAATTTGCCAGCTATTGTGTGTGTGTGTGTGTCGTGTTTGGTAGCGCTTGGCGTCGGCTGCAAGGCAGACGGTGCTGGCCTGGACACGCGTGACTAACCCAAACCCCCACCGCCACCGCGCCCGCCACTACCCCCCTCCCGGTGTGGAGAATCGCCCGTCGCCCCTCAGCCCACCCACGAAGCCGAAAAAGAGAGTGGCGGCGGAACCTCCTGTTGCTGCTGCCGATGCTTCTTCTACGTCTTATTCTCCCTTCTCGCTATCTCTTGCCTTCGTCTAAGGAAAAATCGATTAGTAATTTTAACACGTATTTTCCACCACTGCATGCAAATTCGCAAATAACTCAAATCTAGCGTGGTCAAGTCGAATACACAGACACTCGACGGCACAAACATATCGGAAGGTGGATGAGTTGCTTCTGATAGACTCGTGAAACCTCTACTACAGTCAAGAGAGCAGTCAAAATTATTGTGATACCTATTTTAGGTCAAAGCGGCTATCACCAGAATGCATTAGTTAGGAGAAATTTGTTAGAAAAACGAAGCATCTTTTGTGTTTCTAGGCGGTAATTCCGTCATCTAATCGCGTGACACTAAAGAAACATGCTTTTCGCTAGATTTCGCTGAGTAAAAGTGCAGAAAACGATAAATTGTCGACAAATTAAATTGACTTGAGTTAAAAACATGGCGGTTTAACAGAGGTGAAGTCGAGTGCTAAAATGAAGCTAAAACCAGGGCTGTGGTTTCTCTCCTTTTCAAAATCAAGTTCATGGTAGCCCTCTTAAATCCATTGTTTACAAAGGAACATTACCCTCAAACAGTACAATAAAAAGCCTCGAAGTTAGTAACATGGCAAGGTACGTTTCATCAATGCAACCTCCACAGTTAGAGGCTCGTCAACGTCCAGTGTACACTGTGGAAACGTGTTTCTTTTCCACGCACACACACACACACGCCATCCTAAGGCATTTGTTATTTTCGCTGTGCAACGAGGAATCTACAAAACGCATATTTAGCGGGATTCGGCCCAATCACCGACTAGACCCCGCAATAAATTAATTCAACCGCACATGCGGAAAAAGGGTTCCACACTCGGCCCATGATTATGCAACCTGGGCAGGTTGGCGCGTTGGCAAGATAAACTGCCAGTCCTGCTTCCCTCCTCTCACAGCCCACACTGGTGCCGAACCTGTGGTTAGCAGATTCGTCGGGGTAACTAGTGAGGGCACAGAGCTTGCCCTTGTCTCCTTCGGGACCCCGAAATGTCGCGAATTTGCTCGTTTGGGGCAACTTCTGTTACGTGGCCTAATTTACGATAAGCACACAGAAATAATGATGACGATGTGGCGTCGTTTTTAATACCACCACCACCACTACCATCACCAACACTACCATCTCCCCACAAACTGGAGATTGTCGCGAGTGGTCAGGAAACCCTAGGCTAAGAAGCAGCCACAAACTCATCGCGGAAGGCCGTTGGATCAAGAGAGGCGTGGTTAAACTAGCCTCAAAAATGTGGCCGATTTACTCTTGTCCTGGTAACCGCATCGGCGAGGCGGCTGCAAGGTGCGTTCAACAAAAACAAATCCCACTTTTGGTCCCCTTGGGAAAGGATAATTCAGAAAGTGAGTGCAGGAAAGAAGCACACGTTCTCGGCAACTTAGAAAAGATGAGGAAAGCAAAAGCATCCAGGCGTGACACGGCACTTGTGTTGATTCTGACCCACGGTTCACCGACGGGTGGACCGATTTGACGGACATCGAGACAGCCAGTAAGTGAGGAGATCGATCCCTCAACGAAGAACTTCAACATGTGCAGACACGCAGTGGAAGATGGTCGTTGGTTTTGTGTCGCAGCAAAGGCAGAACATCGACTGAAACCCGGTTTAACAAGCGCAACGCAGGTGTGGGCAAACGGGCCGATGAGCAATACTGGGGTCACAGTAATCTGTGTCACGGCGAGAACCACTTCTGCACACTGACCAGAGTGGAGGAAATCCACACCATGGGCCTACTACGAGTGGTTTAACGGG